AGGCAACGCTGGGGGGTGTGGGTTTGGAGGTAGCAGGACCACAGGGGACTTTGGAAAAACAATAAGGGTTTCTCAGCAAACAGGGATGAGTCGCTCCCCGGTCACCCGTCGCCTCCGTTCCCCTGATGGGGGGCGGGGGGGCGCCACTGTCCATCTATGAAAGCGATTAGCGCACGTTTACAGACGGCCCAGTCCGGAAGCAGCCAGCCTACACATACCTCACGCCGTCAGTACAACATGCTGATGTTCATGCGCTTTATAGTCGCCTATTGATGATGTCAGAGCTCCCAGCACTGTGCAGATGTAAACAGAGGCTTAAATGTGTTACCTAGGCAGAGTCTGACACACAGCGGTATATAAAAATAGCTCAGTTTGGATTGACATCTTAGCAGAAAATGAACAGTCTAACCCAGAATAATTTAAACCTAAAATCACGGGTAAATCTCTATTATTTGTCAGGTTGTTGGATAGCAGTTGTGATAGTGTGCAAGTCTGTTACTACAGGCTATTAAAGGCTGTGATTTTACCAATTAAATACCTTTTTATCAGTGAGGTATTTAAGGCCCACATGCAAGCAAAGCTGATGATAGATTGAATTTGGTGGATTTGAAATTTGGGCCCCCTTTTTCACTTGGTATTTCCATCCATCCGTCCGTCCATCCATCCATCCATCCATCCATCCATCCATCCATCCATCCATCCATCCATCCATCCATCAATCTTCTAACTGTTTATCCTGGACAGGGTCACAGGGACTGGGTATTATGTTAGTCTGCCTACTAAAAAGCAGATTTTATGTAGGAGGGCACAGCGAGTTGACGCTCCAGCCGGGTCGGATCACATGCACCCTCTTGGACTCCCCCTCACCCCCCCCCAAAGCTGCTGGGCCACACCGATGAAGAAAGCAATACATGGGCCGAAATGGCACCATCAGCGAGACATGATTGATCAATTGAATTCTATCAGCCGGAGTGGACAGCGGGATTAACTGGGTCGCTCGGGTTCAGCCAGTTAAAGAGTTCTGCTTGGCCCAGCTTCATTTCACCCGGGCCGGCCTGCTGAAATTGGTCAATCAATAGAGGCTGGAGACGGGGTACGACGTCGGGGGGGCGGGTGTGGGGCCGGCCTGCGTGTGATTGGGTAATACTCGTGTGTGCGTGTGCAATTAGAAGTGGGGGGGGGGGGGTCCCTATGTGGCCTTGTCATCCACAGCCGTCTGAGTCCCTCAACAAAAAGTATTTGGGGTCCCCCCCCCCCGACTGGCAGTTTTATTTTGTCTGCCCGAGTCGTGCTTTGGGTCACATTTGGAGACAGGTGCAGCCAGGAGGACTGCGAATTGGAGGCTTGCTCTTGTCGGCTGTTTCTCCTGGATCGCTTGTGATGGACGCAAAAGTATCACTCGGCGCTCGGGCCAACACTTCTGTCCATCTGCCAGCAGTCATAGCTTAAATCTGTGTGTCAACACTGGAGATAAGTTAGTACCCACACTTATAGCTGGATGGGCGTGAGTGTGTGTGACTGCTGAGGTTGGCAAGTGTTTTTACTACAGCGGTGAACTTTTGTTGTGATTTGCATGCTATTTTGCTCCAATCAGCCTGGTCCTCTGTGTCTCCTGGCCTGATTCTGTCTCTGTGTCTCCTGTCCTGATTCCGTCTCTGTGTCTCCTGTCCTGATTCCGTCTCTGTGTCTCCTGTCCTGATTC